GATCCAGTATGGACCTCTTCCATTACATAATGTGAGGATGGCTCACATAGATGGGTCTCAGATGTGCATCCGAGATGGATGACATGCCTGAAACGACAAGGATCGATGGAAACAATATTTCCCGTCCCTGTTACAGCCCTTCTTCCACCATCTCTCATCCTTAAACGACTCATTAAAATCCATTCCTGCTAAATAAGAAATATGCTTCAGGTCAATTCATAAAGCAGGGGGAGAATGAAAGAGTACGGAATAAAATAAAAGTCTTCTCCCAGCCGGTTCTCATTTCCTCTTTTTAGTCCTTCTCTCTCTTCCGAGCTGCTTCTAGTGGAGTCCTCGTGTATTTCCCTTTGCTCGTGCTTTAAATTATTGATGTTCTCTTGATGGGAATTTATATGGGAGGGAGATATCCCAAGGGAGGTGGAATAGGCTGGAGGACCTCCTTCCGGCCCTCTTCTTCAAGTCCTCAATCCCTTTACCGTTGGAGTTTTTTCTTCAGGTCTCACTTTGACAAGATTTCGCCGAAATCAAATCTCCTGCGAGTCTAGAAGGTCCTGTCGATGCTCTTCAGTCTATCCGGTATCAACGACTTGCCTTAGAGATTTCGGAGGCGCAAGATGAAAGCGCCGAGGTCTCTCTTTTTTTTTCATTTCCCCTGCCTGGTCGGAGTTCGATCGAGAAGTTGCTCGGCGCGTGTTTCCGTGACGACGCCCTATTCCGGCTCCTTCTTAACACCTGCATCCGGAAATTTTTCTCCTTTCTCCTCTCTTCCATCATCTGACTCATTACCTTTGCCCCATCTCTCTCCTTGCATTCACCTGCCGGAATCCGCGAGAGTAAAACCTTTTTTTCTTGGAACTCCTGTCGCATTCCTTCCCGCGTAGATATACAGGGAGCCCAGACTCAGACGAATTAAATGTTTGGTAAGTCATGAAAGAATGAACGTACATAGCGTAATTTGCCAAAGTTCGAGCCCCTCAGAAAATGTGCCTAAGTTCAAGATAGCACATATTCGACCCCTGTCAATGCTATGTCAAAATATTGCCAATCACACCCAATCACCCCAAAAATAGACATCTCTTCGCACCCACGCTGATTTGATAATATTATGAATTTTTGCATAGTATTCGATATTCCCAAATTTAGAGAAATTTATTGCAACAAAACTTCCGACCACTTGGCGTAGACAGACCCTATTACGACTGAAAGGACCATCTCACCCCAGCAAAAAACAATCAAGATCCCCTCCCTGCCAACATTTTTCTTCCCAGTTTAGTTTAGGTTTAGTTATTTGGGGGGGAAATGTAAAATGCCACTTTTGAAATAGTAAGAGAGAATATAAGTTTAATCGTGGATGGACGTGAATGCTCTACTTAAATGCAAAATCTTATTGTCAAAATTTAATAGCAGAACTCAAGCAATATTGACAATCAGCATTGTGTGTTCCGTACAACAGGAAATAGGAGTCATAATTTTTTTCTCAAATTCTCCTCCCTGTGCTTGAATGCACATCAATGTGCTTCAAATGACACCATAGGTCCCCTAAAGGATGTAATTCAGTGGTGAACATGAGGAGGTACTTGAAGCCTTCCAGAGCGAGTACAATAGAGCATATTATCCGCTTCGTGAAGAATTATTTATTAAGAAAGCATATTCAATAACTTTGCAAGAGGCAACATCAAGGCATGACTAAAACTTTCTTTAGGGTGCCTTTACAATGTGTCCCAAGAAGTACTTGCATTTGAATGGGGTTTTCCTGCACCTACATCCACGAAGCAACATTAATTTTCTCTTCCCGAGGCAGGTGTGGCATAAGCGCTTTCCTTAGTGTGCTCAGTCATCGCTCATTCGCAACGGAAGGAAGAGGACAATCAGAGTGGTTCCTGTGAGTGAAAATAGAAAAAAAAGGACTAAACCAGCACATTGACTTCGCTGAAAATGAGCAAGTCTCTGTTTTAAAAAATTCTTACAATTCTCCCATATTATCCCGCAATATTTCAAATATACAGCTTCTGTAATTGTGAATTGTGAAGTTAGCGAACAGGGAGCCAGTTAATGAACGAGGGTCATGAAATGCGATTGTTTCTCGAGCTACACGCTCCAGTTTGTAGCATCTACAGAAAATGGATTGGATGATTAATTAATGCTTGGGATGGAGTGCGAAACAAGAGTAACAAAAGGCCAAATCGCATTTCATGACTCGTTCCTCGCTCGCTAACTGGCTCCCTGTTCGCTAACTGATGCCGCTCCCCTATCGAAATAGGAACACCTCTGCTCGAACTTAGGGACAACCCTCTCGAAATTAGGTGCATTACACCTCAGTAACAAAATCTCGTCTCTATAATGCTCCAAAGGTGTGATTATCATAATTTTGCCCCCTGTTCATTTCTCAAGAACCCAAGAAGTTGATGTTGAACCAATTGATGTTGAACCAAAAATCAGCATGGCATCGCTGATGAGTGCCTGCGATGGATATTCCCATACCCGGTAAAAAAAAAAAGCCTTGAACTTAGCACATTACGCTATATGTGGTTGGCCGCAAACGAAAGCTTGATACTGCAGTTATCATTACATGCATTTCAAAATGTTAAATATATATATTTTTCAGTTCGTTGGAAGTGAGATAGCGACTCCACAAAGGGAAGGCAAGTGCATGTTGTAGTTTGGGGAGTTGAAGTCGGTCACACGGGTGCAGTGCAAGTTTAGAACTGTTTTCAGCAAGGATCATCCTGTCCGTGAGAGAAGAGCTCCGGTAGGCCTTCAACATCGACCGTGCATGGGAAGCCCTCGAGGGCAGCCCAAGGAGGTCTGTGCGCCGTGCCAGTAGAGAATTGCATATGCCACTCGAGTTCTTCTCTTTCAGCACACTTCCTGTGTCCTTGATTTGCTTCATCCATCGGTACGTTGAAGCACGGACAGGAGGAACCTTGCCGCAAACATTTCTGAACTTGCGCTGCACCTGCGTGACTCACTTCAACTCTGCAAACCACAACACGCACTTGCCTTCTCCTGTGGAGTCGCCATTTCACTTCCAACAAGCTAAAAATGTCATTATTAACATTTTTGAAATGTACGCAATAAAACCTGAAATATCAAGCTTTCGTTTGATGCAAATCACATATTTGTACGCTCATTTTTTCATGATTCATCAAAGATTAAAGTTGCTTGAGTCTTTCATAGACGTCCTGTATTAAGTTCACTCTCATCCCCTGCTTGATTATCCATGAGTGAGAACGTCAGCAGGAAGCAGTTTTGCTGATTTCTCAGGCTCCTGAAGAGAGAATAGAGTTAATCTCGTGAGCGAAATTAGCTCGCCGGCAGGAAGATGGAAGATCGAGTTGGCAAAAATAAGTATGGTTCCGCTGTATGGAAGAAACATATCGTTGTCAGATACATTCGTATTTATTCAATTTTAACTGGAAATTTTCTAAATTTTCTTTCGCCAATTCTGTGCTGGGATTCTTTCCTTCTTGGAAGAGCTAATAGAGTGAGGCTAATTGCCGTCTGCCTTTTTTTCCTCATACCCGGGGCTCAGGGCTTCCCGGAATCTCAGATGTCGGTGCCCCCATACCTTCGATAAAGTAAGGAGAAACACGTTGATCGCTCTCTTCATCGTAACTGATTTTCCTACCCGTGGCAAAATGAAATCATTAAAAGAAATACGTTTCGACTTCAAAGGCTCAAAAAGACAGACCGACGAGGGGCTATGGACCTTTTCCCTTCCTCAATTGACTGACTCACCATCTTTTTTATGGAGGGGTGGGGTGTCTCATTAATTCGGGTCTCATCTGTAAACAGATCTTTTAATCAACGGCGTGAGGGGCTGGGATTCTTCAACATCCTGCAGTTTATTGCATCTCCGGAAATTTGTCCCACGGTCTTTGTTGATCCATCATTACAGGGGGTGGGATGAAGTTTCTCTCAGTCTGTAAGGAAATTTCGCTCGAAGAGAAAGAAGAGAAAGGAGGAGGTAGCGAAGGTGAAGAGGTAGGTAGAGTCGGGGCCTCATTTTCTCCTCTGAAGTGAGGATAGTTCGGCATCTGGTTACCCTCCCGCTGGAAGTCAAAAGGGACATATCGCGTAAAATTTCCCCTGAGAGAAAGGAGGCTGCTTTACTCTCCTCTCTTCCTGACTTTTCCCCATTAGTCCTCTTTGTTATGTGTGTGTGCATGTGTGTGTGTGCATGTGTGTGTGTGCATGTGTGTGTGTGCATGTGTGTGTGTGCATGTGTGTGTGTGTGTGTGTGTGTGTGCGTGCGTGCGTGTTAGTGTGTAAGTATGTGAGTCCGAGTGTGTATGCATGTGTGTCTGTCTATGTAGGGGGGACATCCTTTTTCATCATCCATTCATCCCTTTCACTTCATAGCTTTCATCATGCAAAAGCACGAAATAAAAAAAAAACTCAGTGGGGAACAATGCATTCATCATTTCTATCCAGTCTCCCCTCCTCCGATGCTGTTATTCATTTTTTACATTTCCTCCTCAGTCTCTCTTTTACCGCCACCGATCCCAATGGATTATTATTTCTCTTATAGCTTTCGTCCGGCCAGAGTAGGCGCAGTCGGAAGCCTTCACCTGTTTCCATGAGGACGAGATTAATTACATGCTACGGAAAAGCAGGTTCGTGGTGATAGGAATCATCGTACGTTGTCCGATAAACGGGATTATCAGGACATCCGGCTTTCAGGTCACGTGATTCTGGGGAGCTGAGCGATATAATAATGTCTCCTGGGCCCCCTCCTTGGATACAAACATGCTCACGTGGAAGAGACAACACCTTGCGCACACGATCGATGGCGAAATTACTGGAGATGATGTCAATTATTCATCGTACGATGTTGTCTTGGTCAGTTTGCAGAGAGAAGGAGGGAGAGAGGGAGAGGGGGGGGGGGGGGGGGGGGGAGGAAGCGTAGAAGGCTACAGAATATGTGGCTGGTTCTCTCTCTCTCTCTCTCTCTCTCTTCGGCGAACGATTATTGCTCAGCCAGCCATGTAAGAGTTAGGATGTTGGATAAGGGAGAAGCGGCGCGTCGACGCGACAGAACCATGCATGCAGACAACATAGGTCTGTACACTTGTACACCTACTGTAGAAGGCGTGCAGGGAAGAAGGGATGAAGGGGAAGGGACTAGTGAGTACGCTTGCCCGAGACTGATGGAACGTCCTCCCCTTTACTCCGCCGGTCTCCCTCATTCGGGCTTCCCTTGCCCCGCATCTCTCAAGCTGGATAGGAGTTCAGGAAACGGAATCTTCCCATACTTCCCTTTTACCCCCATCCTGGATGTGGATCTGAACCCTTTCACTAACCCGGGGACGAAGGTCTTGAATATGATCGAACGCGGTGAGTTCATTCCGGTAACGACGTTGATGATCCCCGGGACGGCGGCGACGGCAGCGGCTGCGGCTGCGGCTGCAGCGGCCGCTGTTCCCTTCCCACCTCCACCTTCACATCCTGCACCTCCTGTCCCACCCCAACCTACCTCTCATTTCCACCATTTCCACCACCACCACCAGCAGCAACAACACCAACACCCACATCCGTTGATCTCAGTGGGAGGAAAACCTGGAGACACGGGGAAATTTTTTAACTGCAGTATCCAATCCACGACGCCTTCCTCGACGGCCTCGTCCACCTCCAGCAACTCTTCTGGAAAAACTGGTGAGTTCCCTTTCGCATCCCCAATTCTATTGAAGGTTCTATTATTTTTTGTAATGGAGTAGAAGTTGAACTGACAACCCCTTTTACCCCTCGATCCATCAACCTCTGCCAGGTCATGTAACTAAGTAACTCTCGTATTCCTAATAGCAATTTCTTTAATTTTGGATGCCAAAACCTACTTATGGCCCAGTGAAAACAGAAGGAAACCTGCCGGCATTACGTATGGCGGCTGAAGTGTTTAAAACAATTTCAAGTGTATAACTATAAGCAATCCAAATCCCTATCTTCCCCTTTCATATTCCCAGAAGTCACCATAAGCAATAAAATAATATACTTCCGTTTAACAATGAAAGTAATGAAAGTAATAACAGACACTTACAATAACTCACAGACACCCAGAGAAACAAACAGAACAACAGGAGGGGAGTGTTAGGACCCTGTCTCTTCCAGAGAAGCCATACTAAAAATACACAGTTGAGGAATCGGAAAGTTCAGCGTTGCCAATGAAAGTTCAATCTGATTCTGCTAATTCACCATTCATTTGAAAGAAAGCTTTGCTTTAGTCCCGATTGCTTGTGCATGCTCTCAATATTATTCCTATAATGATTCGTGTTGAGGAATATGAATGTTAAGTCTTCGATTTGATTCTGACAGCTTTATTTGAGAGTTCTATTTCTTTTTTTTTAACCTGAAGAGTGACTTCTCGACTTCATCTCGCATTCCGAACAGCAGGTGCTCATCCGAATAAAATAGATCACCATTGTAAGAGGCTGATAGGCAGCATGAAATACGGTGTTCTACGATGCTTGTTCACAATGGACTTCTTCATTCTCGCGTTGCTCAGGCCAATTGAGAGCTTCCACTTGTTGACCATGTGGAGGTCACTTGAGCCTTAATAGGGTAGCCATGACAATCACATTAACAAGCACAAAGGAGGGACTCTTTTTTTAGCATATATATTGCAGAGATACAAAGAAAGGAGGAAAGATGGGGTAAAAAAAAAAAAGCTGGACAAGCACAGTCTAAAATCCTGCAGCGAGCCTTCTGTCGACAGAATAGGGTATACCACAAAGAAAGGCTCAGGGCCACAACATGAATGTTAGAATTTATGCCTCAATATATCAATCCAACTTGATTCTGACTCCTCGAGGTGGAAAAAGCTTTCCTTCTGCATTTGGATGTGCCGAAGGTGAGCATTGGTTTCTCGATAAAGTCATCTACTTATGAGGGAGAGAGTGCAGGAAAAACAAAAGGGATAAAAGCAGACATTGAAGTCGAGGAGACATTCTCTTTTCGCTCAACGTTAAAAGAACGACTTCATTCAGAAATGGCGTCTCTCCTCAATTTTCCCTCGAGGAGTTTACATCCACACAAGCACGGGAGAAGAGAGAGAAATGAAACGAGACAGGGAAAAAATGGGAGGAGTTAAATCCGCAGTTTCTTTTCTCAGCAATGAAAGAACGAATTCAGGATCTACGCAGAAATGACTTCTCTTCGCAATTCCCCTCAAGGAATTCAAGTCCTGTAGGCAATAGGGTGACAGGCACCAGATACGTTTAATCTTAAACTGATCTGATTCCATATCATACGTGGGAATGAGATTAACCCAGATGAATCGAACATTTCTTGGGCCCATTCTTCCATCAGAATATTTTCTATTCAACTAATCTGGAACATAACATTCAAATTAAAGAGGAAATGAGTGAATCTGCTTTTCTTGCTTCTATGTTTCTTCCCTGTTCCAAACTACACGCCAAACTCTTCCAAACTACAAACTACCTGAAAGACTTGACCGGTCGGGTCAAGTCTTTCAGGCGCGAAAAGATGAGTAGGAATGCTGGATATGCTCTGTCATAAATGACCTGTCCCGGTCGAAATCGTGAACAGTCTCTCAACAATCTAAGAATCAGCTTGTAGAACGTGTCTGTCTTTTGGATGGCGTCTTTCTGACAATGCCTCATCGTAAACTTGCCTTTTTTTACGACCGACAAATTGTGTTTCATATTGAAGTTCATGAAAAAAAATGCAATCGTTGCTTCTTTTATAGGACAAAATAGGGCTTGATATCGCAGTGGAATAGTGGAACATAGACTTTTCTGTGCAAATTCCCACCTTCACTGCTCAAGTTCATGAAAACGCAGAAACATAAAAACTGGCACGCTTCCTTCTCTCCCTAAAATCTATCAGTTCGCTGAGTATCATCATTCAAGGTTCAGCATCGTCGAAAATCCGAACCTACACAGTTGAGGACCTTCGTCTGGCGACCCACCACACTAACCTACCTGTAGAAAAATTTCACCCAGTCCTCGTCCCAAGTATGGAACGATTATTATCCTCATAATGCAGGTCAATCCAAAGCTAAATATTTACTTATTGAATTGGAACAGACGTGATACCGATGAACCTACGAAAGCTGTACTGGGTCGACGGGTACGCATATTTACAAAGTATGATTAAAAAATCAGAAATCATAAAAATATAAGGAAATGAAAGAATCCATTATTTTTTAGCTCAAAATTGATTCCCTTCAGATAGCAATAAAAAAATATACGGGGGAAGAGGGACAGAAAAGGGGAGACAAAGAGAGAATCAGAAACGAGAGCAAAGATAAACAAAAGAAAAGAGGAAGTCTTGTGTGGGGATGAGACGAATAGGGAGAGGAATGGGAAAGGGGGGGAAGAAGAGTTTAGAACCAAGGAGAAAATGAATGATTGGGTTCAATTCGTACTGTGAGATGGGCTAATTTTAAATTTAACACAATTTCCAGGAGAACGAGAGCAAATAGAGATGTACAAGTGATGGAGACTCTGCACGAGAACATTTCTGGGGGAGTAATTAGGTTGGTCGAAGTGAACAGAGTTTGTTCCGATATCACGCAGGTTTCTTGTGAAATGATCTCCCAAGGGGCGGCCGGTTTCTCTTTAGAGTGGAAGACAGAGAGTGTAGGAGATGAGGTAAAGACGCCTGAAGTGCTGCGGTCAGAGTGTTGTCTGGTGGAAGTTCAGCTTCGGTCCCTTGACAGAAATAAAAAATTTAGAAAAAGACAGGCGAAGACAGTGACGGCACAAGGGAAGGCCCCCAGGGAAATTCATGTCGATAACTTAAAGTGTGAAACGATGTCTTGTCTTAAAAAATAAGGAGGAGAAACAGGGGGAAATCAGGGGACATGTGACGTGTGATGCATAGTAAGATCTGTCTCCCGCATCCCAATTAATCAACCGTGATCAAACGCTGGATCAAGTTGGCGACATCCCCTTGGGAGATTTCGTCTGAGCATGGCTTCATGGAAAAATACTCACCAATACCTCAAAAGCGAAACAGGTAGAGGGAGGGAAAAAACAAACCGGCCCCATCAATGAAGCGACTCTTTTTCTCTCTTCCTCATGTATTCTTCAAGTTTTCTGTTTTTCTGGCCCTCTACCCTTGAAACTTTTCTCGTCTTTCCTACACACCATTAAAAGATCCTGTTCCACATTTCATCAATAAACCCTTCCTGGATGCTTGTTTTGAGTTATTAGTAGGAGTCTTCCTCCTTTTCTCCCGTACATAACCGTGTTTGGCTAGATTTCTTTGTGAGGATTCACCCCTTGAAACTAGTAGATTTCATGACCCGTTGCTACGAGCTCCAGCGCAAAATAGCCATATCACTTAACTCTTGGACGATTCTTTGGCGATGAGTATATAATTCACAGCCACAGTACAGAGATTGCGACGCAACATTGGGCCCAATATGAAGTAATAACTTGATAATACCTTTGACATCAGGACAAGGATGTTTCATTAGATTGGAATAAAAGTTCTATCTTATTAATAAAAGTTCTATCTTATCAATAGGTTCAGGTTCATAATTTCCATTTAATATATACAGATTTTGCGCAAATTCTATCATTGGATCCCATTCAGGTAAACAAAATGTATCAACTTGTTCTATTAATGCAAAAAAATCACATTAATCGAGCTCTGTGAGAAAAGCAGGACGGCATAGCAAAACTTGCGTGACGTTTTGAAGAATTTGTGATGCACTGACTCAATTCTGCGTGATAACGAGATAAAACTGAAAAGGCACGGTGGCAATTTTAGCTGGATGACAGTAGTAATTTTCAAATGTTCAAACTGTGCTATGCAACGCACAGTATGCTTGTTAATTTTTCAAGACTCCGATAAAGAAAGGGGGACAATTTTCGTGTCAAAATGTGGTCGCGCAACGACCATCCTGGATATAATTTATGGAAAAGGAGGTGGCGACATGAATATATGTCTGAGGCGGACTGGGAAGAAAGGAAAGGAATTATGACACGACCGACACTATCCGTCAGCTATTTCTGTCAGTGGCTTCGATTGATCAACGTTCTCCTTCCCCTCCTGCTGTGTTGATTAACATGGGCAAGATCCGATCCCTCCAGAATTTGAAGTATATTGTATTATGTATTACATTAACAGCTTCATTTACATGAACATTTCAAAGGCAGTTGGCTCTTCAGAACACATTTTTCTGCTGCATAAAATGGTCATTAAGCAATCCAAGCTCGATACCATGGCCCTCGTTGAATGGATGCGGGTATGCTGCGGGGAGGAGGTGGAGGAGGGGGGGCGGGGGTAGAGAAAGTTCAAGTGTCATCCCGCACATTACTTACTCTGCAATATGAAGAAGGGTTTTGCACTTCTTTCTCATACGTTTGCACGCCAAAAACTGTTATGTCAATGTCATGTCTCCTTCAATTATCGTCGAACAACGAAGGTTGTTGCAAGCATGTACTCAGGCACGCAGGACCTGTCTTATTTATGAAAGAAAGTTCATTAAGAACATTGGGATCATCAGTTCAAACTTTTGATGAGATAGTTTCAAGGTCGATTTGGAAAGACGGGAACAGACCGACAGAGCGCTTCACCGACCCGAGCAAGGTCTTGTTCGAACAGGTCGGCATGACGATCACGCATAACAGGGAACCGAGTGAAAGCAGAATGTCGATATCGAGGACAGAAGAATCCAGGGGTGTGTATTCTGTTGGTAGTGGAATGTGAGGGGTCCGAGAAAACAGAGTTCCAGAGGTACAAAGAAGGATGGCGAGCCACGCCTCTGTCACAGGGACGGTCGATCAAACATGACCATGACTGATGATT